TATTGTCTTTATGTATGAAGCTGTGCGTGGAAGTATGATCTTATTCCCTTTTCTCCATATATCTAAGGGACCATATAATCACTTTTCATGTTCTTTAGTCCTTGCCAACAGAATAATCTTCAGGATTCACCCAGGTTTTGATTGGTAAAGGAATAGTCTTTTTTTATTTTTACCATAAAAAGTAAATTTACCAATTTCATTTCACCCTTTTTGGGTGCATTGGCTACAAGACACTTCGTGCACCTTTCTTTATTCATTGATCTTTCAAACTTCAACTAAGATTTATATTGTATATTGTTTTCCCACAAAAAGTAAATAATATGAGTTCTTTTTGTTAGTTTGCAATATTTAGGGAAAGAATGTATGTAGATAATAGATATAGCTATCGGTGGAACCACGTGGATTTTCGCGGGTACTTGACTCGTAAAAATCTATTTAAAATAAATTTAAATATTAATTAAATTGATTTGAGATGGATACCGGTTTAAATTAATATTTCACTAAGGATTTGGATTGGGTGTTTTAAAGCTGATGGTGGCTAATATCCACTAAAATCCATTATAAAGTTCAAAAATATTTACACTATAAAATATTTCATATTGAGTTGAAGATGGTAATAAAATTTGATTCATATGTGAATGTTATTAAGATGACTTGATTTATTTTTATATTTTTCTTAATTTCTTTATAAACTTTTGATATTTATGAATTTGAGATTTATTTTAATTTATTTATAATTTTCACTAATTTTATTTTATATATAATTGACTTGGTGAGGTACTGTATATATAAACAAGGTAGGTTTTTATAGATAGCCTACTAGTTCCAATCCATTTAAAACAAGTTTGGATATTAATTAAATAAATGTAGAACGATGCAGATGTTACAATTTTAAAAGGGTCATATATAAATATTTTTTAAAAAAATTTAAATAAATTTGAGATAGATATTTAGATATCAAAATTTTAGACAAGTTTGAACGTAGATAATACAAATTTTGCATGTAACCAACCCACTTCCATCCATAGATATAATAAATTGGCTTGGAGGAGATGATAATGAAGGGTGTGCTAGCTAAGGACGTAAAATCTGTTGTGTTGTTAATGCAATGATTCTAATTTGTCTTCTTGTCAAGCAAGTATTTATCTCATAACATAAGAAATCATATTTCAAATTCTCCGTCATACATAATAAGCAATCAGAAAAATGGTCATTTTCGTCAACTGGGAAGCAAGTTGAATTCAATTAATACAAAGGAATCAATCAAATGCAAAAGCAATTACTTTTTTTTTTTTTCACACTACTGATATCTGGATCCTATTATCAAAAACTGATTAATTCGATTCGGAACTTAATTACAGTTAAGACTCTTAACTTATCAACAATTGATTAATTCGATTCGAAACTTAGTCACAATTAAGACTCTTAACTCTACACGTGTGTTTAGTGGAAAGTAATTACATTTTTAATATATGAAATTTCCTCACTTCCCCGTTGTCTCATCTACAGCCTATCCAAAAAATGTGAACCTAGCAATTAAAATGGTTTCCCTATTAAAGGCCCCACCTCTTACCAGATTCACCAGCATATTGGACCATATGTCTGGCTGCACATGGCAAAATGTTTCGCTCACTTGGCATTTTAGACTGCCTCCCCATGTTCATTCTATGCTTCTCATTGATTTGCTTTGAATATTTTTTTAATTAAAAAAGTTATGTTTGTACATTACATAAGGCTGTGCAAAACCACCGACGGAACCCAACCTGAAATTGAACCAACCCGTTTCGGTCAATGGAGGTTCAATTTATTGAATTTATTCAGCTTGAACTAAATCTGATATTTGATTCAAATCGGTTTTATATAAATTCATCGGTTGGGCTTAAAATCGAACCGACATGGAAAAATTGATCAAAAACCAACCTAACAGATTAGTTTGGTGCGAGTTAATTTGGTTTAGATATCAATTTTAGCTCGATTCAGTCTGTCATCCAAAAATTTTAGTTTCCATTTTCTATCTTGGTTCAATTTGATTTGAATCGAACCAGCCATTTGCTCACCCCTTCTATTACATGTGAATTTGAGAATATAGAGCAACTAATTAGAGCAACTAATAAAAGTCATTGATCAAGTATTTTTTTTTTTCCAAGAAACAATGCCACCAACTAATTAGAGCAAGTTGGTGGCATTGTTTCTTGAAAAAAATACAATAAGGTCCCTAAATTATGGTAAAACTAACACATAAATCCATTTGTTTTGACCAAATCATTCTCACGACCTTAATTTTTGACTCCTTTGATTAAGGAGTCCTTCAATCTAGTAGTAGCCCTTTTGCCGTTAGATGCCTTCAAAAATACCAAAATGCCCCTAGAAATTATTTCATTAATACCATCTTTACCTTTAATACATATATATAAGTGCAAGACTTGAAAACCCAACTTAAAAGCCCTTAATAAGTCCTCAACTCTCTGCCGCCTCTGTTTGTTCGGGTTTAGGATGATGAGTTCACAAATCTCTGGCTCTAGGTGAGATGAAAACTTTATGGCGTGGAAGATGTCTGAATATGAACTACAAATGTTGCAAGAAGGCTGTAATTTGTATATCGGAGACAGCAAAAATTGAAACACATTGTACTATTATTGCCTCAATAATGTATGCGGGTCCTTTTTGGATTGGTGTAAAGAGGTCGACTCTCTCCATTCTAAGTCAATCGAGTCTAGATTCTGGCATAGAAGCAATCCCAGAGAGGTTATTGCCACTGTTCTAGGCAATAAAAAAAGAACGCCCAAGAAGCAGAGCATTTAATTTTTAACATGAAAATTTACGTAGGCAATCAAAAATGACTTTCTTATTGTATTGACATTCCTAACATGAAAATTTCAAAGTGCCATTTACGTAGTGCCAAAGAAAACCCTAAATTTTTAAACTTGTAAACTTTCCTTTACATGATAAACTTTCTTTTCTTGCAAAAATCAACCTTATTTTTGTAACGTGATAGAGAAGATATATTTAAAGCACAATAAAGTATTTATCTGACTTAATGATTCTTCAAACTAACGATCTTCAAAAATCAAAGCATTCTCACTTCTCAAATTATCTAAGTAACATTAGTAAATCGAAAATTCAATGAAGAAAGAGGCTTTGACAGCGGGGAGATGTTTCTCTCTTCAAAAAGCTAAGAAACGATGAGATGACCTTTGATTTTCCTTCGTTAAATGAGATCGATAAGGTGATGTTTAACAAAGGGCATTTTGGTCTTTCTGAAGGCATCTGGTGGCCAAAAGGATTACTATTGGACAGAAGGACTCCTTAATCAGACAGCGTCAAAAGTTAGGACCCCAAAATTATTTGTTTTTATTCATGTTTTATATTCAACGGTTATGGAAAATGTTTTTCTCTTGTCAATAATCTTAATTTTGGATTAGCAAACCATAGTATCTTCTCAATTTAAAAGTTTAGTTTGATAGTATCTTATATAATAATCAAGTACATGTGTCGTGCCAATATCCAAATGAATAACAGTGAGGCTATGAGAACTAATAAATGTATGAATGTGCCATTGGCTTAGCAATTGCAGAGAGCTTGGAAATTGCAAATGACAACCACTTAGTCAAACAATCACGATAAGAGCATAAAAATAAATAAAAATCTGATATAAGACCTCTACTAGACAATGGTTATGGAAACAAATATAATATAATGTTCAGTAAAAGCCATGGCAGCATCCAAAATGTAGTAAAACAGAATTCAAGAAAATAAAATAATCTTCATTTCAATTCAGAGTTCTGCTCTCAATCACTGCTTGCCTGACATAAGAATTTGTCATATCTACCACCTGCGCTGGTGGGCCCTTTCTTGTACTCTTCAACTTAAAAATAAAAAACCATTGTTCAACTTGATTTTTGAATATTTACTAAATATTTAAAATTTTATCCAAAATTAACTTTTAGATCAATTTAAAATATCAATTTTGAGTTTATAATCAATTTTAACTCCTCCTGATAAAAAATAATATAAATATTTTTAAAAAACTATTTCTATTTTTGAATTTTTTTTCAACAATTAATTATTATAAAAATAAATAGTTAATATTTAATTATTTTTTATCAAAAATTAAAAAATATATATGTTTATAAACTTAAATTGTACATCCTAAATCAATTAAAAAATAATTTTGAACCAAACTATACATCCAATAAAAAATTAAATCCAAATTTAGCATTTATCACTCCAAGAAATATAAATATCATATATAAACTAATGTCCCATTCATTATAAATGGTGGTCCCTGAAAACTTTTTTTTTCTTTCTTTTTTTTTTTTTTTTTGGAAAATCCCTATATCCATACAGATATCCAATTAAGAAGCAATAAATAGTTAGTCACAATCAAAATCATAGGTGTAAGGTTACAGCACATGGCCACCCAACAGTTTCTATCACAAACAATTTTGTGGCTCCTAAATAATGTCTTCTTTTATCCCTTTTCTTTATTTCATCAAGAAAGCAAAATACCAAATTGAATCCAAAGTTTCTATTCAGGTGTTCACTTGAGAATAGGGAAAGCTGAAAAAAGAGAGTAGCCTGAGATTGTTTGAATATGTTAGTCATAAACCAAAATACCTTATTATGGCAGCTTCATTTTAGGAGATAAGAAAACAAGAGAGTAAGACTTGATAGAATAAATATTTAATGGCCTTAGATTTTTCTAAAGATGCATCCCTAAACTAATAGAATACAGGAAACTAATCCATAAAAGGAATGGCACCCAGTTGAATAAGTATGAAAAATCACAGTCAACCAATCTCTCTCTCTCTCTCTCTCTCTAGGAAACAATCCATAAAGGAATGGCACCACATGTTGAATAAGTATAAAATCACAGTCAAACCAATCTCTCTCTCTTCTCTCTCTATATATGTGTGTGTGTGTGTGTGCGCGCGCGCTATATTATTACCACTCTATTTAAGTGACCTCAACTAGTTTGATATCAAGATATAGCTCTAAACTAGGCAAAACAAAGAAATCTAATTCATATACCCAACCAACATTATTGTCTTTAACATTATTGTCTTATTGTCTTCTATATGGGAAAGTGAGGTATGGGACCTAGACCTTATCTGTTGCACCATCTATACAGGGGACCATGATGTGTGCTATTCCACTATGTACTAATCCTAACTTGAACAAAATTCAGCGAAAATACTCGCCTTTCTTTCTGATCCAGTAGTGACGATTGGCCTTGAGTACTTCTGTCATTGCTTGTAAATACCGGACCTTAATGAACATGATCTGAGCCAATCACCTTGTAATATTAAGTTTCATACCCCAATAGTCTGTTTAAAGAATATAGACAAATATGAATGTTGCCATGGAAATTGAAGATGTCATTTTCTTAGAGTTTCTTCATTTAGTTAAGCAACTACATTTAGCTAACTGCTTGCAGCTTTTCCATTCCTTTTTTAAATAGTCAAAAATCTCAATGAGATGAATGTATGTACTCACAAGATTCATCATTTGCGCATACCTAAGATACTAGAGCAACTTATACATTCATATATAAACTATATGACAATATAATTATATAAATAAGTTGGGGTTTTCGATAAAGATAAGCTAGCTATGGTAAATATTAGATTGTTCTGTCTCCTTTTTCTTAATCCAACTCCTAATTCCAATAGTTAATTATTCAACTGCTAATTACTTTCTATTAAAAGCTTGATAAAATGGCACTAAGTGGACTGTTGTTTTGGTTTCTATTTTCCTTTGTCTTTGAAATTCCATTACACTCCTCATTTACTAATTCTTATCTTTTTTTTTTCCTTTTTAAAGAGGAAGGGCATCACAATGTTCATGAACAATTATCAATTCAATCGGAGATGCAGGTTTTGCACATGCCAACAATCTAATCATATGTTCCTGAACAAAGACCGAGGAAATAGCATGGTGGGCAGACCTACTCACCTGACCCAATAATTGGAAGATATTGGTAGATATCAGCAACAAGCAACAGCCACTGATTTTTTTTGCCAGCAGAATTATTTGGCAGCCACTCAAAGTAAACCAGGACTTTACTTAAGTCAAACCACACCCGCCTTAGGAGCACAAATTGAGGAAGCTAAGGATACTTGCTTTCTTTGATACCTGAATACAGAAAGTCAAGAATTGGGGGAAGAATTAGCAGTCTGCACACATTCCATGTGATACTATAATCATACAACTGCTTACACGTCTTCTAAGAGTAACTAATTGCAGTAAACATAATATGGCTACTTCACTGTAGACATAAATCAATCAACCGTCAATGAGAAGCAAAAATATAAATATCTTTTAATTTCTTTCAGCATCACTATTGCTGTACCCAAGAAATCCAGATACAAAGAAACACAAGAACTTTTGCAGAAACAAGTAAAAGGAAGAAGCTCGCAGGCAAGCATAAAAATGCAGCCAAACCAATGAGATCATTGCAGGTTGGTTATTCGTCAGACGGGTTTAGCTTACGATGTATTTGGAAGCTGTCTATGATCCAGAGAAAAATCATATTGACGAGCACCAATTAATGTGTTCAATGGTTGGCTGCTTCAAATGCGTAGCAATCGCTGATTCAGAAATCTGGGTTGACAGCAAATGATTTCAAATATAATTGATGGTTATTACTACTAAATCAGACACTATCCAGAAACCAAAATGTGAAACAGAATGACAGAAAAAGACTCGACACAAATTTTGACTGGTGGAACCTATCAGAACAAGGAAGAAGTCACTTTCCAAAAACAGATCCACAGTGCCTTTCTGAATCTGTTTTCTTTCAAAGTGGTAATTTGATCAGTCACTTAAATAATATGCAGACTGTGGATGTAGCAGCAACATAGAATCTTACTCCTGATACTATAACTTGATATTACATTGACATATGGTGGAAAAGAAAATTAAAAACCATTAAGTTACCAATTTACCCTATCTCAAAAGCATCCAAAATCACAATCGAGGCATTCTTTTCATCATGGGAAATCGGTAGCAGTTTCTGAAAAACAAGCTTGAGTTCATATTGCTTCAATATTTTTACCATTACATTAAATGGTCACCAGTTCAAATTATTGAAAATCAAACAATTGGAAGCAACTACTCATATGAGCTCAAGCTTTCCATTGACTTGACCTTTAACATTTTACATCAAAACACAAAAGAAAGATGGAACTAAATAAGAAAACAAAAACAACCGCAAGAAAATGATACAAACCATTAACAAAGAGAGCACCAGGTAAATCTAACCGTACTAACCTTCAAACTGCCAATACAATTTTCTTTTTCAATTTTACTGATAATGAAAGGGAACCAACATCAAAATTGTCTATCATGAAAAAGGCCCCTAAATATACTGGATCCACATTGCTATTATTGTCCCACTTTGGAAGTTCATAATCAAGGGTCATTTACTTACTTTTTCTTAGTGATGCTGTCATCCTGTTCCTAATAGACTCAAATATCTGGTACCGCAAATGAAAACCAAATATTGGGAACAAGTGATTGTAATTACTAATCAGGAATTCAACTTCCAGTTATCTGGACAAAGATCCATTAATTTTCAGAATTAACTCTCAGTTTGCCTTAATTATTATTGTCGATTGAGAATTTGAGATATTCAAGAGCCCACTTTTGAGGCACAAGTTGAATAGCTGTAGGTATGCATAATTGCAGGTTAGTTGACATTACATCTCTTGCTCTCTGATTAGATATATTACCCTATTTGGCTTCATTAACCATTAGCATAAATGTATAGAACAAAGTCTAATCTCCTGCAGATTAAAAGTGAACTACCAATTCCTTTACCTCAACTCAACAGCGAACAAGAAGGAGAGGAGCTAAAAGTATGCCATAACCCCCTAAAAATAACACTTCAATTCGCCTTAACTCACTAATGGAACACATATCATGCAACTGGAACAGACAAGGACAGTTGAGCATGATCCCAAGATATGAGTTTAAAAGTAAACAAATAACTGAACTTATATAAGTAAAACATGACATGAGTGTCCACAATAATATATTAATACCTAATTCATGAATTATAGCATCAAAGCAAGATAATAAAAAATACCAAACCCCATGGAGAAAAATACTCACCATGATAGAATCTAACTAAAATCACTACATCAAAATGCAACCTCTCCAAATTCCTTCGCTGGACCTGAAAATATTCTCAGAACTCCAAAAACAAAAGAAACCTGAACCCAAAAACTTTCAGCCAAATCAACCATCAAAAGAAATAATTTAAAGCAAGAACAAGCAATTGTTTCAAGGCAGCAAAATACAACTTTAAGAATTATAAACATAGATTTTGCACAAGCCATTCAAGAGGCCAGGCGCATATGCAACAGCACTAACATTATTAATTAAAAGTGCACTCTTAACCAATGCAAGTTGAACTCTATTATTTCCCTATCAGCGACAATCCAAGTGAAGTTTGCATTCATAGGGAAAAGATCATGGCATACAGTTGGCAGAACACCAGCAGCTGGCCCATATCCACCCAAAAATCACAATAAGAGAGCAATTGTTTGACCTTGAATGATGGATCCAAAATTAAAGAACCAGAGAATTCCCACCTTGGAGCAGCCAAAAGGAGCACTTCTATGGAGAATCCCCAATTACCAATCTGTTATGACATTGGAGCCACTGACAATGAAATGAAATAAAACAAAATTAATTATATCATCAGCTCCTTCTACCAAATCGGCAAATCCTGGACTTTTAAAGATGCAGTAAAGGTGTAAGACATATGCTGCTGTCAAACTCATTCTCACCAACAATGGAATTCCAGTCCTGCTCATCTGAAGTGAAAAACCAAATATGCAGATGAAAAAAAAAAGTTTATATAGTTCTGTTAATAGCTTTAACAATCAAAGATGCCCTCTAGAAGGTTTTCCTTCTTTTGGATGAAAGAAAAGGAGTTTTAACAATGAAACACAGGTTTTCATTTTTTCTGATTTAGCTAACAGAAAAACAGCTTCATTTAAATCAGATCATTTGAAGATTAATGTGACATACAAATTGCAAGTGAATATTATGGGATATCACTAAAAGAAGGACTTAGATAGCAGAGGTTCAACTACATAAAACAAAAAATAGGGACTTAAACAAAAACACATGATATTTAGTACTGATTTCCGAAGTTCCAAATTTCTCAAGACAGACAGTGCTGAAAGATATCCTGGCATAACGTTATCATCAAAGTAGTGAAGGAATTCTTTTGGCAAATGGGAGTGCTGTTGCCATATTCCTTTCCAAAACAAATTGCATCTCAATTAATGTGGCTACACACCACCATTACGTGAGTTTCCAGTTGACAAAGGAAGATACAGTAATATACTGGCAGTAGAAGACATTGACAAATCAGTCATACAACAATCAAAAAGTAATTCATGTTCAGTCAAAATTCATATTGCTGAATAAAATCTTGATTTGAATGATGGTTTCCTGTTGAAATCAACAATTCAAACACATTCTATCTTTAGTCTAAACTTCAGAATTGCCAGGAAACAACCCCTGTGAAGCATTCTATAAAGCTGGTAGTAAGACCTTTTTTGAGGTACTCAAAGAACTAATATCTCCCACCTTTTCATTAAGCACTCCTTTTCAATTTATCCAGTAGTTTGACATAGCTAATGAATCAGCGTTAAAGGTAATTCCCAATTCCATATGAAAAGCATGCTTAGAGTAAGCTGGTCCTGAGAAATCAAAGTTGGAATGGAAACTGACACAAGAATTAAATTCGGCGATGGTGAAGCAAATAAAGAGCCCTAGCTGCCGCATTCTCACTTATCTTGCTGCATATATTTTCTCAAATGAAATAGCATTAATTTCCCATCATGAATTTACTTCTACAAGAACATCTGTGGAGGAGAAATAGATTGAGGTTAAATATGTTTTGGATGAGACATATTATGGGACATACAATGAGTTGCAACATAGTCCTAGACAAAGTCAACATCAAAACTGACAGTTGCATACCAACAAATTTGGCACACAAGTTCTTGGTCACAATTCATGTAAAGATCTCAGTAACATTAAGCTACCTTTGGCGAGGGGCTAGAAAACACAGCAAAAGGCATATAAGATAGAACATTACAAGACTAGACAAGCACTTATGGCATGGTGCATGTAGGACAAGGCAGATCACTCTCCCCATCCTATGTTTGAAGCATTTATGATGGAACTGGATAATGAGCAGAAATAACAATAACACCCTCATAACGTCATTCGATGTAGCAATTGACAATAAATTAAAGCATTGGACAGTCAGAAATAGCCTACAAATGTGCCTAAAAAATATATTAATAGGAAAAAAAAAATGAAGGACAGAACTTCGTCTGTTCCATAGCAATATGCAGCTAGTAATTCAATATTCCATTTATTCACAATCTTATTGCATATAAAATATTGACAGATATAACTTCTTTCCCACATTGTAGGAAATTTTAGCACTTAAGTGCCTATATCAACTGCTCATCATACAAATCAGTTCAATCAACGCTAATATATATTCACATTCTTCCATCCTTTACCCTCCATTTCTATGTATGAAAAACATCAATTCAATAGTTCTGGTTGCAAAATTTCCATCCCTTAACTAATAGCACTTTGCAAAACAAACGCACCCTCTTTCTTAAAACCTGATCTCCCAAAGTTCTACAAAATTACAATAAGCACCAAACTGCATCAGATTTCTCAAATTTCGAAGTTCAAGTGTTCTAACAGTTATTACACAAAAGTTTAAGTCCAACAGTTCGCAGTTCTGCACTTAATGAGAAGTGCACATACAACTACTTCAATTCAAACAAATTATCAAATTGCCACAATAAAAGACTATCTTTATATCTTCCTTCATTCAACAAGAAAATACTGTTTTCAGAACAAGAAAACAAAGAAACTTGAACAAAAAGGAATCTGTGCCAGCCTGTCAAATCCAGAAGTCACTGAATAAATACATAAACAATCAAGGAATGCTAGAATAAAACTTGACAAAAATGAACTTTGCTTTCCACAAGCCATGCGAGTGTAACTTCACAACATTCTGCTAAGATATAAATCATAGAAACTTCTAACACCAACATCATTTATTAAGTAGCCATTCAGCTCACTTGCTTTTTTACCTTTTTCTATTCTAGAAGCAAAAGGCAACATTTAAAAAAGCAAAACATTAAATGTACAACTAAAAATTTTTTATTAGATAACTTCTCCGCGTGATAGCATTCATTCATTTGCATAAACTTTCTTTCTTTTTCCTGAGGCAAGTTTCATATACTTATGAAATATATTCATACTAGCACATTTCCTTTCTAAAGGAATCGAAATTCATAAAGTGGACTTCCAAGAGAAGTAAAAAACAAAAAGCAAGCAAGCCAAATGGATACTAAGAGAAGACCTCTAGTCAATACAAGATGAATCCAGTTATGTACCTGTCAGCTACAATCCAAGTGAAGACGGCATTTACCAACACAGATAATTGCAAATATGTAGCATAAAGGATGAAATCCCCACCCCCCAACCACCAAAAAAGGGGGGAAAAAAAGTGCACGACAATTGTTTGATCTTAGACAATGGATTCCTGATTCAGAGAGTGAAGGCCCAAGAACCCTCACCCTGACATAAGGATCACTTATGTGAAGAATCCTGAATCAACAAATTGCAAAATTGCAACAAGCAATCAGCATAGAAATCAAATGTAACTAATTCTCATCTCTGCTCCTTGCAGAAGTGAATCCTCATCTTTCAGAAGATGCAGTTAAGAAAATGCTTTTCTCAAGCTTCTGGTCATCAACAATGCTATTCCAATCACAATCATCTCAAGTTCAAATGAAATTTAAGTAATTTCAATGAATATATGGAAGTATTTGGAGCCAGTACCAGCATAAGGAATGCTGGTGTCTTGGAGGGGAAAAAAAGATTTATGATGATATTAATAGCTTTGAAAATTGAAGCTATGAAAAATGTTTTGCATCTTTCAGCCTTCAGCAAAACCAGAATATTGATTTCAGGCATATCACTATCCAAAGCTCAAAATGCAATATCAAAATTGGTGGATAAAGCATATGCAGAACAATAAACCAATAAGGAAATGACTTAGATATTAGAGGCCACCAGCCACATGCCACCATTGTTTAATACAACAGTACATAAAACAATGCATGCATCTAGAATTGACACTTCCAATTCTCTAGAAGTACATTTGGTGACAGATAAGCATTGCCTGCTTCACCATCAAGGCAGCAGAAGACTATCAGTATCGCTAAACTATATGCAAACAATGCATCTGATTCTTTAAACTTTTTCAGAAGTTATTCTACATGCAAACACTGGCATCTGATACTTTGAACTTATAAGTCCACTTATTCCCACAATTAGAGCCCAAATTTTTATGGGTAAAATCTGCACTTAATGTCAAGAGTGAGCACATGCATTTCAAGCACATCAACAAAACATTAAAAATAACAGAGTTCATAGAAAAGACGTAGATTAACTTAAAGAATTTAATTAACGACTACTATTAATATTTGTTAAAACCCCAAATGTATACAAGGAAACTTGCTTTCTAAGACAGAAAGAAGATAAAATCTACATTCAATTAAGAGCCAATCAAATTAAGAAAACACCTCTAAACCATATAAAACATCCGCGTACTTGTCTAGTTTTTCTTCATATTCATTCTTGAAGTGCTTCTCTTTTATTTTCTGAAACGCATGCAGTGTCAACAAGCTATCAGACCCAGCCTGATGCTTCTTCCCTATAACCCGCTCTACACCCAGGGCCTTGCCAACCCGATCCAACCCACCATAAAGATCGCAAAATCGAATCAAATGCTTCACATCATAAACCCTAGCCCCAAAGAACAACCTTACTATGCCAAGAAACTCCGTTAATTCCACCGGTAAAACTCGCTGAGTCAAACACTTTACCAAGTAACCGAAATCATAAGCGCCGTGAAACGCTACCCAACTCACCGAGTCATTCAAGACAAGGCCTGAAGACATCATGAGTTCAGCGAATTTAACTGAGTCGATACCAAACTGCCGGTTCTTCTCAAAATCGATGCCTTGGCTTCTCAACATTTCAACCGAGTCATGCGCGTGAGCATCGCGCGAGGCATCAAAATCACGGAAATTGAATTCCCAAATACAACAACTATTCGTGCCAGGATGTGGCAGATTACCTTCATCATCAGCGATCGTCAGACCGACTTGGATCAAATTCAACATATCAACATTAGCCTTGAGATTCAAGTAGTGCGCGTTAGGATCACGATACCGATTGTATGGATCTTCGGCAGTAGGCCGGACTACAATGCCAGGGAACTCCGTATCCATTGATATTAACGGGTACCTATCGATTAACGATCGGATCAGCTTAAATTCGGATTCAAGATTATCAGCCCAAACCGATCGCACCTCGACTGGCAGGGTCGTCGACCGTGATTGTACGGTCGGTGGTTTATCGGCGTCAGACATAGTTTTGGATCGGACTTAGAGGGATCCGTTTGAACCCGGGTCAATAACTGTTGATTTAGGATTTTCTGTAGCCCTAATTTTGATTGGCTTTGTTGAAGAGAAGAAACGATCATAAATAAGGAGTTTTAATGACGGCGAGGAGACGAGGTATGTTCTTTAAGAAGAGAAGGTGGTTCTTCGACAATGGAAAAGATGGGCAGGGTACAAGTTTTAAAACGAAAGGTACAAGCAATCGGAGCGGAGATATTTTATTAAATTTTATTTTATCTTGTTTTTAAATAAATTAAATATGTTGATTTATTAGAAAGTGGATTTGTAATGGGACGAATGTACCCCGGGTTTGAAAGGAGGCTATTCCCAATGAACGATTTGGCTCAGTTAGGGGCTTGTTTGGCTCCCTATAAATCTTTTTTTTATTTTAACTTTTTTTTATTTATATTTTATTAATTAATACAGTATAAAATTCAATACTTGTACGAAAAGAAAAATCATAACCATTTTTCTAGCTGTTAAACTGAAATAGATTTAAATATTTTTAAATTAAAAAAATCAAAAAAAAATTTATTATCATTTGTTTAAAAAATTAGATCATTCATATAATAAATAAAATTTATATAAATGAGCTTTCCTTTACTCATTTATTTCAAATGATAATTTTTATTTCTTTTCTAAAAGAAAATAATATTTATTGTTTTCTATTACCCATTTTTTAATATACATTTTTATTACAAATACATTATTATTATTATTATTAATAAAATTTTTAAATGGACAACTAATTAAAATATGAACCTTTGTAATTATAGTTTAGGAAAAATAACAAGAATATATTAAATTTTGTCTTGTTAACAACTTATTAGACCATTACCTTATTTGATTAGATAATAATGAAATAAGTTGGTTGCGCATTTGAATTTTGTAAATCAAATTTTGTAATTAAAAGGTTTGTTTTTATAGCAGATTTAATAAGCTATCTGAAATACACCGAATTTTTATTTTCGAAACTTTTGAATTTTTATTAAATCAAAATTCTCGATTTTTCGACCTATATGGGCTATAAACACCAAACAATCTTAATTTGAGTCCAAAGTCTTGCGAGTTGGGCCCAAACTCAAATATATTATCGAAATTTTCGATTTGAGAACAGTTAAATTTGCGCATTTGAATTTTTGTAAATCAAATTTTTGTATTAAAAGGTTTGTTTTTATAGCGCAGATTTAATAAAGCTATTCTGAATACACCGAGATTTTTAATTTTCGAAAACTTTTTGAATTTTTATTAAATCAAAAAATTCTGCGATTTTTTCGCCTTATATGGGGCTTATATAACAGACCAAACAATCTTAATTTTGGAGTCCAAAGTCCCTTGCGAGTTGGGCCCAAACTCAAATATACTTATCGAAATTTTCGATTTGAGAAAAGCAGTTAAAAATTTTCTTGTTATATTGATATATTATTATATTGAAACTCTTAACAATTTAATCTATAATGAATAGTTAAATTAATGAATTTAAATTTAGTTAAAAAATTTTAATCAGAATCAAAAGGAATATATAATAAAATTAAGTTATGCCTACAAATCAAAATAGCATACATTAATATTTTTATTTATATTGAAGTGAATGGAGAAAATGTTATGGAACCTATAACTAAAATAATCAAAATAATAATCGAACTGGACCTCAAGAAATTAAATTGATTTTTCGAAAACCCACACGAATGAACCTGCAAACCCAAGCGGAAAAAACCTGCCAAACCCAAGCAAAATCCGAGTGCCAAATTATTGAGACAGACCAAACCCTGAATTCGAATTTGAAGACCGGATGATCTAGAAAACGCGACTTATTTTCTTTTTTCTTCCTCTCTTCTTCTCTTCTCCGGCGCCCTTCTTCCTCGACCCTCTCTCCTTTCCTGTTTATTTCCGGCCGACCGAAGCAAAAGGGTTTTCCACTTCTCCTCATAGGTCGATCCACGTGGCGTCACTCATGCCCTCCCGGACTCTTTGTCTTCGATGAACGCAGCAGGCGAGCGAGTTGCGATTCTCTCTGGGTGGGCGACGCACAGCAACTCAGTCCCACGATCAACCACTGTGCAGTCGCGCTCCTCTCCGCTAGCGATTCCCGGCGACTACTGCCAAGCAAGGCAAACTAATGGTCCCCCTGCGTTTTGAGGGGCAACGCCGTTTACGCCGCATGAAGGCTACTGTTTGAGCCCGATCCAGCCAGCCTAGGGGCCGTCTCACGCAAATGAACGCCAGAATCGAATCCTGACGGAAAATTCGAGTCTGATGGTGTTATGAATCAGCCCGATTTCCGGTGAAGTTCCAACCATTCCGTCACCGTGCAAGTCGATAGGCGCCTGCCATTTCGCCCGGTGACCGGGCCGGGCGAAACTCCGGCGAGGCCCCCGAGAGAACAGAATTCTCTTCTCTTTCGCGTGAATCAATTGGAATCGCGTCGCCCAATCTCCTCAAATTGGTAACGTTCCTAAGAAAAGACCCAATTTCTCATTTTCGGTATAAATTCTAAAACTTAATAATTTATTGCGTTAAGTTAATTGAATTTGAATGAATAATCAATCAAATATATATTTTTGCTAAGAAATCAGTCGTATAATGTAGATGCAAAATTAATTCTGAATATTATTAAATATATTTCATGAACATTAGTTTATATTGGGTATTGAGATAAGAATTCTAGCTAATATTTATGTAAGCTTAATTTAGGAATTTTAATAAATATTGTTAGGAGGAGTTATAATTTAAGGCTGTAAGTACAAGTAAATGGTTATACGAGCATTAAATAATATCAATTGAATCATCTGCTTGGAGATTAATATTGTAAGCGTCCCATTTTTTTTCCCAAATTGAATCGGAGTCCAATTGCTTAGAGTGAAGTCGGGCTAAATTCCAAAACCCGTTCGAGCCAATTAGAGTCCTAGAGTGGGCTAGAATGAAATAAGGGAGAAAAGTGGACTTACTTGAAGGAAAGCAAGATCAATGAAGTAATAGAGGATTTAGTGACTTGCTTGCACTAAAATATAAAGTTGAGTATTAAGTTGTACCATTTTGACCACTCTGGAGGTACCAATTTGTAATTTTTCACATAAAAAGTCCATGATATTTTGGAGATGTAAAACCCCGTGAGTTCAATTCATTTTCATTTCTTCATCCTTATCTTTCATCTTTCTTCCTCTACCTTTCTCTCACTTTCCTTTCTCCATCACTTTTAATGGTAGCTGGAAGATGTTTAATGGGATTCAAAACATTTAATCAACTTCTATTCTATCCAAGTAAAGTAAATCCTTCTGAAGTTTCATACCTTGAATCCATTTGGTGATATTTTGTTAGATGATTCATAAGAATTCTCATGATAGGAGAGGTGAGCTAAGGTAAAAAGGAAGCTAATGAAAGAAGAGTTCAAGGCTTTTTTGGAGTGGAAAGGTGTTGCCTATCTCTTTTCGTTTTAATTAATTTCCTCGCATGAGAATTTGTGTGGTGTGTTTTTTGATAATGAGAAAATATGTGTTTTCATGTTGAGTAGATGACTGAAAATGGTGAAAAAGCATGAGATGAAATGAAATAAATTGAAGTAAGATATTGAAGTTTTTTGTCTGAAACAAGTTTTGCTGGAAAAGTTACCAAGTAAATTCCACCTTGATTTTTTACCCCATTTAACGATGGAATTAGAGTGTTTATTAGAAGAGTTAATTTGTTCCTGCTAATGTGTTAGCTTTACATGGGTTTTTTTTGAATCCCCCCAAATCGGAGTTGTATAATTGAGAGATATGACCAAAAGAGTTAACAGACTGCGCAGGCTTGGGAAAACACGTCGCGCAGCTCGCGAATTTCATTTGCGGCGTCGCGACTTGGCCTGTAAACTCACTGACTCTCTTTTTTGGGTGCTTTGCGTCGCTCGCGAATGTTCATTTTTGCGCGCTCGTGACTTATGTTTTTATGCTCTTTTGACTTCATTTTCAAATGCAATTGTATTCTTTGCCTCAACTATAATGCCTCCATCATTTAAAAAACAAAAAAGACACCCATTAGAACATGGCCATCAAAAACAACATGCAAGCATGCCAAATGATGTGAAATGAAGGTAGAACACAACTTTAAATTGTATTCTAATGCAAATGTTGAAATGATGTTGAAGATGGTGTATTGAAGTTATGAATTCTATCGCAATTGTATTCCTTTTCTCAACTGTATGTCTTCACCATTTTAAAGCAAAAAGGACAACATGAACACATGTATAAACACAAATGCAAGCATAGCAAAATGGTGTGAAACTAACATGAACACAAGTTTGCCCCGGCTTTGGCGAGGCTATCAGCATACAAGGTAAGCAGTAAATTTTTATGAAATGATGAGCAGTTAATTTTTTATGACACGAGCATGCAAAATTATGAACACAGTTACTGATGCTTTTGTTTTAATCTATTGTCATTCCATTAATATGCCCTTGCCATTGAAGGTTAGGTAGAAACCACGTAGATAAGGCCTATGTTCGGCGACATAGAATAGCAATCTGCCGGCCCCATACAGTTTGGTACTCCGGCTAACAGGCCGTTGAGTGGATATGATTATATAGGCCATAGCAGCCAAGCGCAATACAGTTCAATCCCAGTTTCATACAGTTTTTCTTATGCACTTCGATTTCACTATAACCTTATGGAGCCCATACAGATATCTTGATATAACATATGCCATGAAATCAATCAGTATACTAAACAGCAAGAAAGATTAAATCAAGGTTAAAATGAAGTATCAATGATATGTGTGCTTACATCATATGTGAAGTAACATGTTTTTTCTACATCATGGTATGTGCTTATATGTTTCTTTATTCATTGTGATTTCACTGAGTTTAATCAAAGTTGCAGAATTCATACAAGCATAAAGAACATCAGGGTAAGGATCATGAAAGTATAATGCTATATATGGCTTACAAGTTTTATTTATTGAATCTTTAAGGAGCCATACAGTCATGAGATTGTTTATTAATCATAACTTATATGATGTGAACCTAAAAGTGCCATAAGTTCCATGACAAGCATAATGAATAGCAAGTAGACAATGAACATATACTGTTAATGCTATTCTTACATGTTTATTATCTCATCCAGTACAACACAATGAACAGCGTAAAGTATCATGTTAGTAGATCATAAATGTGTGTTAAACAGGTTCATGGTAAACGGAGTTATGAGATAAATTAGGCAACTAAATTATTGATTGT